CCTGTTGGATGGTAGGACCTTGCTTAAGCTGTTGCACCCAGGCCAGGGGGACCGCCTCCTGTAATTGGCGCAATTTTTCGGTCATGTCCCTAACGTGTTTTAGTTTGTCTATCATTTGGTCATTAGATTTCCAAGTATTGCGTTTGAAATCCCATATGTCGGCCACCAGGTAAACCCCCTTGGCCACCCAACCTCTCCATGTGGGTTACCAAGAAGCAGTTGTTTAACAATCTCGTGCCATCGCATGGGCGGGGGGAGCCGATCCGGACCCATCTCCCGCCACAGCTTGACCATGCCCGACCACACGGGGTCGTTTGGAATGTCTTTTCTGGTTCGTTCTTGCGGTGTCTGTGGGTCGGGCATTCTTGACGCACTGGGAACTGTCCAGGAAGGGTTGGTGATCCATTGCAGTGCATGGACGGAATCCTCCGCAGGCGAGGGGGGCCCCAAATTTGTTAACTGCAGTTCAGCATACGGGACCCACAGAATGTCATTGCCCATGGGTAGGCGAATTATGACCTTGAAGGAGAGGGTTTTTAGCTGGTCATGTGGTTCCAAAATAGTGAGTCCACCCTTAGAGCGAGGTTTGGCTATATAGTCCCTCGCCAGCCTCGAGAGGAACGACAGGTCCTCGTGGTCATTTTTCCAAACATAGGCTGCCACTGCACGTTTGAGTCTTTTAAGGGATCTTGGTTGGATCGGCCAGCAGGCTGCCTTATACCACATGGTAGAGAAAATGGTCGTGTTGAGTGTCAATGCTCTTCCAACTATGGAGGTACGTAGGCCCTTCCAACTGGCCACTCTCTTCATCGCCTCCTCCACTAAGGAATCCCCATGGTCCCGTAGAGGGCCCATCGCCGTGAGTGAAACACCCAACACCCGTATTGCTTCCTCCTGATGTTTCCATTCCACAGCCGGTTCAGGCAGGGGTGGGTCCAAGGGGTGGAACCACCATCCCTCAGTCTTAGACCCCCATTTCACCACCATATCAGACGTTGTCGAGAAAGTTTGTATGGTGTCCACCAGGGTCTGGAGGGAGCAGGGGTCGACTCTCATGAGCACCGTCATATCATCAACGAAAAGTGACGTGACTGATATCCGATGGTGTGGTATTTCAGGAACATCTATCTTGTGAATGATTGGGTTGACCCTTATTGCAGATGCCAGGGCCTCCATAATAATGACAAAGAGCAAGGGAGTTATAGGGTCTCCCGGTCTTATTGACCATTGCAGGGGGAAGAGGTTGGAGAGGTATTAGTTGGTCATCACATTAGTGGTCGTCATTCTATGGAGGGTGTCTACCCATCTCCTAATATTCGGTCCTAGATTCATTGCTTGCATGCAAAGATCCAAAAAGCCCCAGTCGACATGGTGATAGGTTTTCTTAAAGTCAATGAAGAGGATGGTCGCCTCCTTCCCCCTCTATCGAGCATATTTAATTGTCTCATTCACAAGTAGTATGTTGTCCTGTATGTTTCGTTCCGGTATGAAACCGGATTGATCCGGATGAATGAGGTGGCGCATATGCGGCAACAACCTGTTTGTGAGGGTTTTCGCCATCATTTTGTACGGGACCGGCAGCAGGGTGATAGGCCTCTAGTTCCGCACCTCGTTTTTTGCCCTCTTTTTGTAAAGTAGCATGGTGACTCCTTAGTTTAACAGACCCCCAAACGTCCTTTCTTTCAGGACCGCATTAATGTATTTCATCAAGTTCTGACGGAGTGTGTCCCAAAAGGCAAGCCAAAACTCCTTCGGGAAGGAGTCACGTCCTGGTGTTTTTTCATCTTCCATTTGTAGAAGCGAGGTGTGAATCTTATGTTAAGACAGCGGGGCTTCCACGGATCGGCTGACGTCGTGGGATAGTTTTATATTCAAGTTAGCCAATAGATGTTGCCTAGCATTTTCTACGGTAGCAGGTGACCTCTGGGACATGCGAGATGTGAAGAGGTCCTTATAGTATTTTGCCGAGTAATTCACTATCGCATAGGGGTTGGTCGCCTCGGGTTGTGTGTCGTCCAGCGGGTGTCTAAGGGAGGTGATCACAACTTGTCTAACCCTGGCTTTTGCCTTCAGGAAGAAGGTTTTGGCCATAGTGCCTTCAGTCTGATTTTTTTTTTTTTTTGGCTTGCAATCTCCACCTTTCGGCTTGTTTGTCGAGGTATTCTTGCAGTTTGTCCCTTTCTTGTAGCAATTGAGAGTAGACTCTATTGTCCAGGGGTTGGGAGGTTAGTTTTTCATCCCATTGTTTCAAAGTATGCAGCAATCCTTCTAATGTAGCCTTCCTCTCCCTTGCCCTTTTTATGGAATACTTTTTAGCTCTCTCTCTGAGGCGTGCGATCCCCTCATTAAACCATTCCACCGCGGAGCGGTATTCCAGTTTTTTGGTTTTCCAATAATCCCAGAATTCGTTCACACATTGATGGAAGGAAGGCAAGTTAAGGAGGGAGGTATAAAGTTTGAAGAAGTTGGGCCCTCACGAGAAAGGGGGGCGCATGACCAATCCTATGGCAATCATCTTGTGATCAAAGGATCTATTGAAGCTAAATGGGAGAATTGTCGCCTCCGTTAGAGGGTCATTGAGGTCTTTGGATATGAGCAGGAGGTCTATTCTTGAATTGGAGAGACCTTCTTTGCCCCTGGATCTGATACAGGTGTAGGCTTGTTTGGTAGGGTGAAGGACTCTGAAAGAGTCTTGCAATTGGAATTCTGCCAAGAGCTGGTTGAACATGAGCTCGTTGTGGGGGTGAAGACCCCCCCCCTTGCGACAAGCTCCTTCTGTCCAGCGCAGGGTCAGGTGCTAAGTTGAAGTCTTCAGCCAGAATAAAGAGAGTGTCAGAGGGGAGGTGTTACATCTTCGACTCACACGGGTCCTACCGGACCCGACTTAGGGCCAGAGGGACACACCAGGGCCTAAAGGCCCGACCTTTGGGGTTACAGGCCCTAAAGGCCTGATTTTGGACTATCACCCATCGGGYAGGCCCAAACGACACTTCRTTTGGGCCTGGCGGCGCTCTTGAAGCTGCCGCCCGCCGATTGAGGCTGAACCGTCCATCTGGACGGTCYAKGGTCTGGCCTGGCCTCRCAGCATTGAGGCCASACCATTGCCCACCGGTATAAGTAYCGGTATCCGCCTCAGTAGGGGGATCGGCCTACCGCAACTCTACCGGCACGGCATGGTCAGTGCTAGTGCACTGTTTTGATGCGCTAAACTTAGCGCAGGGGATGAAGCAGGAGCGCAGCATAGCACAGCAGCGGGCGACTGAGCTTGCACGGCGGTTATCACCGCCTGAGGTATCAGGAGCTTGGAGGGTCTCTCCTCCTCTCCCTCGCCAGTCCCCTCTCTCTCTCTCTCCTCTTCCTCCTTTTTTTTCTTCTCCTTCTTCTTCTTCTCCTTCTTCTTCTTCTCCTTCTTCTTCTTCTTCTTCTTTTTTTTCTTCTTCTTTTTCTTCTTCTTCTTCTTCTTCTTCTTCTTCAGATTGGAGACTATCCAGTTGGACAGAGATCAGAGTTGGATTTCGGTGATACGAGACTGTGGTACTTACCTGATTGGAGACTATCCAGTTGGACAGAGATCAGAGTTGGATTTCGGTGATACGAGACTGTGGTACTTACCTGATTGGAGACTTGGAGATTGTTGAGGTTGATACTCGGCTGTATCACAGTTGGACACCGGTTACATCTGGACTCTGTTATCTCCGACATTGGTAACCTTTGGTCCTCGACATTTTGATCTTGTTATATGACATTCTGGACTACCATTTCGGAGACCTATCAGACTCTATTTTTGCGACCTATCGGTGTGATCTACCTCCTACCTCCTTCGTCTCTCCTCCCACCTTTCATCTGTGTATGTGTGTACGGGATCTGGGTATCGTCTATGAATGACCCAGACCCCACCATCTCATGATTGTATGTGTGTGGAGTGATGTCATGTAGGCCAGTCTATGTGAGTCAGTTCGTTTATCAGACTTCCGCTGCATACATGCTCATCCTATATTGGTTGATTTTTGGTTCTGCCCATACTCATCGAAGTATGCAACAGTTTTGGTATCGGAGCAGACCAAAACGGATCTGCTCACCAGGTAAGTCCGTTTAGAATTAGGTTATCATGTTTGATCTTCTAAATCGGCGCTGAAGTATTATCAAGTTCAAAGTTGCAATTTTTTTTTTTTTCGGTATTCTGGATATTTCAGCATTTCCGTTTCAATTCAGTATTCGGACTTTTATTCGGATTTTTGTTGTACACGGTATGCTGTTTAATTAGATCCGAGAGATTGATACTAATCCAACATTCTGTTTGATTCGGATTTCTAGTTAAGTAATTCGCAATTAGGGTTGAATCAGTATCATGTTTGAAATCCGGTTTTTCTGACTTTCATTCAGCATTCCGTTTTTSGGCATTCTGTTGTAAATCCTATATTTCGTTTTCTTTTGAGATTTCCGTTGTCTTTCAGTATGGGAATTAGGGTTATGAAAATCTTTTGGTTTTAGATCAACTTGGGGAAACTCGAACGTTTTGGGATTGTAAATCCGGAAATTTCACCGAACCGCGGAAATCAGGGTTGGGACCGAAATTTTCGCGAATTTTTTTTTCGTTCTCCTTGTTTGAGAAATTCCGAAAATAGGTTTAGGCTTTTAAAAATCGGATTATGACGGTGAAAATTCCCAAAAATTCGCATTTTTGAAAATTCGAGCGTTTTTTCTTCTGAATTTTTTTGAAATTTTTTTTTTAGCACACTAAGCCGTATCTGACCCTCAAACTGCAACTTCCGGGTAGTTCACTCAGTAACAGTGAACTCCCGGACTCATAGTAATCTCGAAAGAGACCTAGTCATATTACCATTCAAATTCGTTTTATGATTTCATTGATTAATTATCTCGTATTTTTTTATTAATTAAATTTATTGATTAAATCGTTAATTATTACGAATTTTTTGAATTGGTTTCGGGAATTTATTTTCGGGTTTTGATTAGTGGTCTATAGTCCAACAAGTGGGACAGGGGATTGTAGGTGTATTGCTTGATTGTTCTACCCCTGTTCCCACTCTCCCTACCCCCCGTGTTCTGTGATTACCGGGACTTCTCAAGTACCGCATCGGTTCAGACTGATGTYGACGGAACARGACACCGGGGCACTGCCACGACGCAGTGCCAGAATCGCAGTTCGTGCCCGCCCTGCAGTACCTCCAAGACCGAAGAAACTCAGCAGGCGGATGACTCCAGCAGCATCAAGTACGGCATTGACGGTACAAGACGCCACCGGAGATCATCCCGCATACCCAGTCCGAGGAGCCAATGAGCCAGCGACTGATTATCGTGGGCGGCTACTGGCATTTACGGAAACCGTAGCTGCCGTCGAGGCCCGGAAGGAGACAGCAGAGGCAGAACGTCATTGGCTAGCCAATGAAGCGGCAGCCGAAGCTCAGCGAACGATTGAGACTGACGCAGAGACACGAGACAGACGGAATGCCAGCAGCACGGAGTCCTGGATTGCTTGTGAGCATCAGTGGACGACGATACTCCAAGACATGATCTTTGTGCCTACGGAAGCGCAGGGAGACCCGACACCGGCGGAGGCAGAGAGAAGTAACCTGGCTAACTTACTGCTGGGCATGATGAGAGGTATTATGTGGAATAATACACTGCTGCATTCACATCTGCGCACGGACGCGACGCAGCGACAAACATACAAGAACGATATGACTGCGTTAACAACTGCTATCCGCACAGAGGCAACGCAGCAGCAGCAACAACATCATCTGTTGAATTCCACTATCACACGCGTCAACAGCATAGAGGCTAACGCCTCAGYAGCGCCAGGCTGCACGACAGACGTGACGAAGCAACTCAACGAGCGCATCGATCACGTCGTCACCATCATCGGCGACATAAGTACTTTCAACGGATCCGACTCGATCAGCAGCACGGTGGCCGCCATCAAGACGGACATTACCAAGCTACAGACGAGACCGGAAGCCGCTAGAAAGACGTTCAAGATGCCGCACTTCGACATCAGCAAGTTCGATGATTACAAGTCGGACGCCTTGTCATGGTGGCAACGCTTCCTCACGGAAGCATCATGCCGCATGGTCCCGACGGAAGACATGTTGAAGGCAGTATATCTGCAGCTGATTGGAGGAGCGCAAGGATGGATGAACCACCTAGCGGCTACACACAAGTGCACTGTCGCCGAACTCCACACGCACATTACGTGGAAGGACTTCAAGCAGCTATGGTTCACCAGATTCATGGTGCGCAACGTCGTGAAGATGGCCATGAACGAGGTTTACACATGCTCTCAAGGGAACATGCCAACGCGAGACTAGGCATCAAAATGGCAGAAGATAGTGACCACGCCAGGCTTCGACTTGCGTTCCCTAATCAACGATCCGAGTTCTTCTCGAGATCGTGCGCAGGATTGCGGTCGGCACTCGGCAACGAGTACGACTATACTACGTTCCAGGCCATTCTGGATAGAACGAACCTAGTCATCCAAACGGACGACAAGGCCGCTAACGAGAGGCAATTCCGGCCGCATTATGTGGCTAAACAGGCCTATCAACGTCCGACACATAACAATGCCGTATTTTCTGAGGAAATCGACGACCACCACGCTGCAGCAGCATCCTCAAGTGATGGAGGAATTGTCGCAGCGCTCCCGCCGAAGCGTCCGAAGAGAGTTCGCAAGAACAAGGCGACACAAGAGACAGCGGCGATGGGAGCTGGGCAGCAGCCATGGACGGCTTATAAGATCACCAAGGAGGTCTATGACCTTCGTCAAAAGTATGCATACTGCCTATGGTGCAACAGTGTAGTACACACTACCGCACAATGCCCGGACAAGGGCAAGGCACGCGTACGCCGTCCAGCCAACTCGGGAAACTGAGTTACGCAAGGAGAGGGGCGACGTCTCTCCTCACTCCGCCGGACCCGGTTGCCTTGCTAGCAATCGATGTCACTACCGGGGAACATGCGTTAGTCGCTGATCCTCGTGCTACGTACGAGGATTATGCCGCCCAGCTGGTACCACCATTAGACCAGCCAAGCCACGTGCACTTAGCTAGCGTATGCGCAACCTGTACAACGTCGGCAAGTGATCCGGTCAGTTTGCCACTGATTTCCGAGGACTCGACGGCGTGGTCAAGACTTGAGGAGCTTGACCCGCTCACGAGAGAGGACTTCGCCTGGATGCCTCTACCCTCGACCGGAACCTTGCCAAGGCCGCATTGCAACGCCTTGATGGCAAATCTACGCTTCTACTTGCACACTACAGTACCAACTCCGTTGACGGACGACGGGGTAGCRGTTGCCGATCTCCGCTCCTATCTTGCGAAGATCGACCGCGAGCACGCCACCCAAAGGTACGCCAAAACCGATGCACCTTTGCTCTATATCCGCATTCAAATAGGAAAGGCAACTTGTAGTGCCTTGATTGATTACGGAGCGTCTCGCAACTTCATGAGTCAAGCCTTTATGGCCCGCGCAGGTCTTGGCCCGCGCGTTCGAAGAAAGACGCAACCTATGCAAGTTACACTCGCAGACGGCCGCACGCAAAAGTCAATTGACCGATGCGTTGACGGCGTTCCGGTCTACTTTGCGCCACTTGCGTGCCTTTTGACATCCTCGACACTAAGTTCGACATGATTCTAGGCATGTCTTGGTTGCGTAGCGCCGATCATCCGGTGAACTTCCATGACCGAACCGTTCACATCCGCGATCGGAACGGAGTGTTAGTCCCGTGTACGGTCGCGACCCCTCACACTTCGATTGCTTGTCACGTGGTTTCCGTTGCGCGGATTCACGATGCCATTGCTCGGAATGACGTCGAGGAGATGGGCCTTGTATTCTTGCATGCTCTTCCCTCGCCGGACGGACCAGCTGCGTCACCGCCAAACCCACGCATTTCTCACCTCTTGGACGAGTATAGAGACGTCTTCGAGGCTCCCACCAGAACGGTCCCGGATTGGCCCATACGTCACGGGATCACTCTCGAGGCTGGTGCCGTCCCTCCGCGTGGATGTATCTACCGCATGAGCGAAGAGGAACTCGAGGTGCTTCGCGCACAACTCGATGATCTTCTCGACAAGGGCTGGATTCGCCCTAGTTGCTCGCCATACGGTGCACCTGTTCTCTTTGTCCGGAAGAAGAACAAAGATCTACGGTTATGCATCGACTATCGGAAACTTAACGCACGAACCGTAAAGAACGCCGGCCCTCTCCCTCGGATTGATGATCTCCTTGAGCGGTTAGGCGGCGCGACGTACTTCTCGAAGTTGGATTTGAAGTCAGGTTACCACCAGATTGAAATCCAGCCTCAAGACCGGTACAAGACCGCGTTCAAGACGCGGTATGGGCATTTTGAGTGGGTTGTCATGCCATTTGGCCTCACCAATACCCCCGCAACGTTTCAAGCAGCAATGACGACTTAGTTTCGCGACTTGCTCGATCGCAGCGTCCTCATCTACCTTGATGATATCTTGGTTTATAGTAGGACGTTGGACGAGCACATCGTACACCTTCGCGTTGTTTTGAATCGTTTGCGACTAGCCAAGTACAAAGYGAATCTCGACAAGTGCGAATTCACCAGGCAAGAGCTTGAGTACTTCGGCCATTTTGTCACGCCGAAAGGCATTCGTCCCTTAGCGGACAAGATCCAARCCATCGTGGATTGGCCGGAACCCCGTTGCACCACGGAGGTACGCTCTTTCATGGGTTTGGCTGGATATTATCAGCGATTCGTCGAGTCATACTCGAAAGTGGCCGCTCCTTTGTCGAGACTTCAGTCCCCGAAGGTGCCCTTCGAGTTCGATGACGCAGCCCGTGGCGCGTTCACTACGT